CCCCCCCACACACACCCCACCCCAGTTGCAGGGTTAAGTGGATGAGCTCAGAAGTAGAATGAAGGGTCTTGGGCCCAACCCAGGCCAGCCTCCCACTGAGAAACCCAGGCCCTTCCCCTCTGCCGGGGAAATGAGAAGGAAGCCCCAAGTTCTGATGCTAGGGGGTCCCCTTACTCATGAGTCGTGTGTATGTGGGGAAACGGAGACATAGACAGGAAAGGGGCGTCCCTGTCCAGCACACATCACCCCCTCTACCCCCTGCAGTCTCAGCTGACTACCACAGGCTCACTCAGCCTCAAGCCCTGTCCCAGTCTGATACCTCCTGCTGTGGCTGGGAAAACCTCCGCCCAACCCCGCAGCACCAAGTGGATGGGGATCCCACAGGCCAGGGCAGAACTGCCCAAGTGGGTTCCTGAGGATGAAATCCAAGCAGTTGTTTGGAGCAGCTGGTGGGCAGGAGGGTGGGCACCTGCTACCACCACAGGACACGGCCATGGAGTCAAGAGTCAGTTCCTCACAGGACAGGGTGGAAGTGTCCCTGGGGGCTTCCGGGAGTATAACTCTCAATGGGAGCAGACAGCCTCTTCTCCCTCACACGGGGTGGCTCGTGGGATCAAACTGCCGACCTTGTGGTTAAGAGCCCGGGTCTCGTGACTCACTGGCAGCGAGAGTCAGTCCTTGCTCAGCCAGCCGCCTGTAGGTCAAGGTCGAACCGCCCCTGTGGGTTTCCGACTGTAACTCTTGGCGGGCATAGACAGCCGCCTCTCCCTCCCTCCGAGCGGCTGGTGGTTTTAAACCGCTGACCTTATGGTGTGGCCCACTCGGCCACCAGGCTCCCTGGGGTAGCTGCTGTCTTATAAACAGCCCAACAGGTCTCCTCCTTTCTCCCGTAGTGAACCCCAAACCCCACTGCTGGGAGATCGATTCCTAGGCATAGTGGGAACCCAGTAGGGCAGCGTAGAAACGGCCCCTGTGGGTTGTTCTCCGGGTTGCAAACCTTTACCGGAGAAGACAGACTCTTCTGCCTCTCACAAGCGTCTGGGGGTGGGTGGAGGCTTTGAACTGGTGACTTTTTGGTGAGCAGGCCAACGCTTTTAAAGTGACTGTTCCCCCAGCTCCTGGAGCTCTGAAAGCGACTCCCAGGGCCCTGCAAGGGGCACTGGGGTGTGTGTGTGAGGGGGAGCGCTCGACACTGAAGGGTTCAGGTCCTCCTGCTCCAGGTGGCCTGGTTCCCGAACAATGGGGCTCAGTGAGGCCCAGGGCCCCTCCCCTAGCGGGGGGGAAGCCTCCCTAGCAACCAGGGCCGCCCACGTGCCTGCGCCCTCTGGTTGCTAAGGCAAGGGATTCCCTAGCAACCAGGCCAGCCGGTCCTGGGCCCAAGGGAGGG